AAAAAAAAAAAAACAACTTGGGCTGTCAAGCATTCATTTCTTTGTTTTCTCAAAATGCCAGAAAGTGACATTCCTTGTTTAAAAACAAGTCTGTGGGAACAACTGTGCTGAGAAGGCTCACCGACACTGCTGGTATAAGAAGTACTGCCTTTGACCCTGAAACTGCGCGATCGTTCGCTCCTCGAAGTGTGCGTTCAGCAGTTCAGAAGGATCGTCGAACATGTGCTTCCTGGGAAATGGAAGGAGTAGGGTGGGGGTGGGGTTTAAGAGATGTGAATGTGGTTTTCGTTTTTACACCCAAAAGGAACTCATTTTGGCCATTAAGGAGGCACGTCGTACTAAGTCTGGCTGTCAGACCTAGATTAAGCCAGATTTTTGGTCTTAGTAAGCGTTTTACGGCACTTGCAACACAATTAGGTCATATAAGTGCCGAAGATTAGAGGTGTTACAATCAAGTGTGCGAGTAACAAACACAAAAAGAAGGAGAGATAAGGACGACAGATGTTTGATATGAAAGAAAAAGCAAACCACATCAGAGTACCCGCCAACTACCCACCAACAGATGTGATTGTTTAACTGTCTTGCATACAAGACGACCACATTTTGACCATATTTATGAGTTGGGATGATTTGAGGCTGGCTGTCAGAGCTAACCTGGATTGTGTAGGAAGCATCCCCCAGGAGAAAGACAGATTATGTGAGGCAGTGTGATGAAATCAGGTGCTCATCAACAAAGTAAAGTAAAGATACTGGCATTTTTCTGTAGGTTTGTGAATTTTTATCGAATTTTTGTTTTTTGGCTCAACACCCTTCATGCCCAATAAATAACACATTTTGGGGGCTCTCGTGGCCTAGAGGTTAAAGTGTTGGCCTCTCATTCAAAGGTCCCGGGTTCGAATCCGGGTAGCGACCAAAAAAATTTCTTCTCTAAAATTGTCTCCTTTCCCCTCCTTTCTTGCTATCTTCCAATATTCTGTTGTCTGCTTTCATTTCCATTTTCTGCCCCCACCCCTCACCCCTTTTGCCCCATCCTCTGGGCTCCTGACTCTTTCTGCAGCCTTTCTACTGCTACTCCTTGGCTCCTCCTTACTGCTGTCTTTCTGCCACACCCCTGATCTTCTGGTAGGAAAGATCTACACCTAGCCTTCTCGGACAAGGGCGAAAAATCTCGGAGGGCCCGTGTGCAAGTTGCGCACGTTAAAGAACCCTTGGTGGTCTAAAATCGATAAGAGTAGGCTTCGGCCGCCACCCGGGCAAAATTCAAAATTTCCTACCAACTGAAAATATTCGGTGTGTCCCGCGCGCTCATATGACCTATGCAGTTGCGAGCGCCGTAAAACCCTTTACAAAAACAAAAACAAAAAGAGGCACAAAAAAAGAAAGTTTTCAGTTTCCACTCACTATCATTACTATCAAGCTCAGGAAATGACTAATCTTTAGCGGCCATTTTCTCACTAATTTTACCTCTGAAACCAGGTGACCCCCACCTTTTTCATTTGCAAATATATCGACTTGTATTTAAGATAAAGGGATATTTTTTCATCCAAAGCAAGACGAACAAGCTACCAATAACTTTACATGCCCAACAATTGACGAGAGCCTGATCCCATTGCATCGCGAGACACATATTATAACAATTCTCCTCAAAGAAGAATCGATTTGTTTGTTTGAGTAAATAGAAGCATATATCGACACCATAATGATAATTTATTAGTGTTGGAAAAAGTAAGCGAGACAGACAGAAAAAACGGGGAAATCAAAGAAATATGGCTTACTAGTGGAGCCCTCTAACCACTCGTCCCGTAAGCAGAATCAAACTCGCGCCACTTGCTTGAGAAGTGAGGAACCTAACCATTAAGTCATACACAGAGTTTGAGAGCAAGTGTCAACGAGCAGAGAGAACAGAAAAGTGATGTGAACTTGGACATGTGAGACTGAGTTATTGTAGATCTATTTGTTGAGGGATCATGAGCGAAGCTGTCAATGTTGACAAGTTGTCATTTACTTTGCGTCACCACGACAACACCAGTTTTAGTTTTGGTGGGGGGTTTTACGGCACTTGCAACACATACTATAAGTCATGAAGAGCCGAAGATGAGAGGTTTTACAATATAGTAACATGAAACGAAAAAAGAGTGGAGAGATAGATCTGGGACAATTAACAAGTAATTCAATTTTGTGTCGTTTCATATTGGGCAAATTTCGAGAGCTACTGCTAATATCTCAGTTTGTGAAAATTAGGGGGGAGGGGAAGAAGCTAGCAATGACATAACAAACAAGCACTTACGAAATGCAGCAGCCGTGGTAGATTAGAGTACCCGAGGCTGCTCGCCGCTCTAATGCGTGGACTGTTTGGTATGCACTGACCATCTCCAGCAGTCCACTCTCGTAAGCATCGCGGCGCTTTCTCTGAGGACGTCCGCCAGAACAACTGCAAAACAGTCGTACGGAATACAATGGCAGACAAATGGCTACCCTAGAATTACGAAGTCCAATCTGCTTAGTGTCTAGTTTTGAGAAATTTGAACGTTAAAACTTTTGGGTTTCACAACATAATTTTAATCTTTTTCAAAAGCAATTCTTTGAATATTTCGATAGCGACTCCGAATAAATTAACAATTTTGACTGCTGATCAGCCGGGTTGAGTCGATTAATGCCGGCCCCACTGCACACTACAAATAGACCCTTCCCATGCAGTGTCATATTTGACCGCCGCACAGTACTACCAAGCATAAGACTTACCGTTCACAACACAGCCATTTCCCTTCACGGAGGCTTCAAGTGTCGACTGCCGCATACATATCGCGGCTACTGAGTTGAGATTTAAAAAAGAAAGGAACCCCC